TGGAGTGTCTGAAGGCTACAAATAGAGGAGTAGCTCATGCTTCTTTAGGTGAAACCTCTATGTGATGCTGAATTCCTGCTACTGCATCCTCCCTCTCCCCCTCATTGTATGCTGCTTGCACAACCTGCAGCCTTAGCAAAAGAATCCCTGACATCTTTCTGTGCAATGCTGCGAGCGTGTGAGCACATGGAATGAGTGAGTGAGAATCCCAGCAATAACCTAGGAATCCAAAGTATTTGAAAATGGCTCTTTCTAGAAACAAAGCAGATTGTTTCTGGGTAGGTCACAACTCATGCTGGGTAGGGAAACTGTTTCACTCTTTCCTTGAAACACTGACTATAGGCCCTTGGGGTGAAAGGTGTGTAACTCACCCACCTGCTGTCATAGGTTCCTTTTATAAGCACCTCTATAGTAGTGGAAACCAGTAAAATGATAACCTTTTCACCTGTCTTGAAGTTGCACCTGTTGTGCTCCCTTTGTGTCTTTGGGTAGAGTGGGTTTATTCTGCAGCCATCTCTGAAGAACCCAACAATCAGTCTGTATTTGCAATACTCCCCCTGCCTGAGATTATATTGCCCCTGTGACTGTCCCAGCCCTGCAATCAATTGGTGGCACAGGAGTACTCAGATATTCCCATTGTCTGTCATACAGGGGCAGCCATATGCGTAAAAACCAACTGCTTTCTTTTTGAGGCACGCTTTATCCTTCTAGCACCCGTTGCTAGACGCTGCATTGCCAAAACTATTCCCAGTACACTTGCACCAGTTTTCATTGGTTGGAGAAATACCATGAAATCCCACTGTTTGGCACTTGGGAAAGGATAATGCTTGAGCACAGAGTGCCTTTAATAAAAGGCACTAATCATAGGTGCCATGTGCATGGGGGGCCCTGAGAGCCCTGCCCTCTCTCAGGAAGAGGGTAAGGTCCCATCTGTCCCTAATTGAGTGGGACAGTCCCAAATGGGAACATCAAGTCCTGGTCCTGGGCTGCATGGCTCCAGGACAGCATTTGTCCTGGATTCTCAGCATTGTGCAGGGATCTGAGTTTTCTGTTCACCACAAAAAATGCAGGAAATGGCAGGTTTTCCCTTGAAGGCTGGCAGAGTTCCAGATTTGTGTATGGGGCAAGGGTGGATGTGGTCTACCTGTCGCAGACTCAGGGCTCCCTGCCCTGCTCCCGTCCCCCCAGGAGCCCTGAGCCAGCTGTGTCATCATGGCAAGTCACCTCCTGCCCACCCAGCAACAGCAGGGGCAGTGGTGCAGAGTTGTGGCCCCTGCTGCTGCCAGGCAAGGGACATCTCACCATGGTGGCATGGCTGGCACAGGCTCCCAGGGTGAGGGCAGCAGGGCAGAGACCCCATAGCTCACAGTTGACAGCCTGCATCTGGCCCCCCCCATGGACTAGCTTGATTTTGCTCTGGCTGTGCGGCCAGGTGAGGGGGAAGGGGCATGTGTTCTGCCTTTCCATTTTGAAAAATTAGTCACTAGGGGTGCACTGATTTTAAATCTTGTTTAGTAATAGTGCCAATGTTTAGTAATAGTGCAAAGCATTTTAAACTACTGACATAAATAAACCTTTTTTTTTGTTTGGTTTGCATTTATAACACACACATGCACATATTTCCTGTCTGTTCCAGCTCTCGATGGGGTGACCACCTTATTCCTGCACATCGCCCCCTCACCCACGGCTCCTCCCCGCAGCCCTGCTCCCCACATAGCCCATGCTGCCATCCACACGGGCAGGGTGGATCCTTATGTGGACAGTAGTGCTAGGTGCATTTGGAGCCCCAGAGCATGCTGCTGCATCAACACTAGTGGCCTCTGCACAGCTGAGCTCCTGTGGCCACTGGTGAAAAGCTGCTTTTGCAAAGGTGCCCAGTTCCCAGCCAGAATGTCCTTCTCAAGGTGCCTTACCCCATGTGCATACAGCTTAACATCTTGGCGGCAGCCCTGGCACTCAGGCTCCTGCTGTGCACACGGTGTTGCGATGGCAGCAGCAGCAGGAGCCAGTAACAGTCCCTTTGTTGCTGAGCATGGCACCCTGCAACCCCTCCCCAGTGCCCCTTCCCACTCCTGCTACTTGCTGGGACCTGCAGTCTGCCATGGGCTCAGGCTGGCTGTGGGGTGCAGGAACCAGACTACACTTGCCAGGGTGTTCTGGGCACGCAGCTGTAATTATCAACTATGATGACCAAAAAAAGCTGATAGCTGATAACATTTTTCTACTTTTATTGATGATGATCAATATATCAGTGCACCCCTAGTGATCGCCTTAGAAGAGGGCTGTTGAACATGTCCACCAGCTTAGCCTCCCCCCTCCCAGCAAAAATAAAAGTTGGCTTTTATGATACTAATGCAAGAACCTGCTAGTTCCATTTCTACCCCAGTAGTGGCTTGGGATAACCTGATGGAAGGAGTGATCATGACACCAGAGCTCTGCTTTTACCTGCAAATTTCCAGAGTATCTTCTGGGAATTAAATTTCCAATTAATTGAAAGTAGATGTACCTAGCAAGCCCTGCACCTTGTGATTTTAGCCTGTAGTCCATTCTTGGGTGTGCAGCTGGGGTCTAGTTAATGAGCTTATGATAGGTAATGAGAAATCCAAGATTTGGTTACTGTGCCACTGACTAGATGCGTGACTGAGCAAAATTGCCATGCTCTTCTTGCCTCTGTTACCCACTCTGTCAAATGGGCATGCTTGCCTGTCCTTGCAAGAAGCTTTCAGAGCTACAAAAGAAAAGTATGGCGATTACAAATATTATCATTTTGGTGGTGGCTGTAGCTAGTTCAAAGCTGGGTTGGGTTTCTGGCTGGTTCATGATGGCAAAATTCCCAGTAAAAGGATGATGCTTCCAGAGCGTACCATGGCTCTTTGAAGTGACAGCTGAGCTTCTGAATCGGATGTATGCTCTGTTCTTAGTCTTGGCATGGAAGCACCTTTTCATTGGTAATGCTAAGCTTTCCAAAGTAGTGGCAGGGCATGACCCAAATCTCGGAGAGCAGAAAAAAGCTGGGAGAAAGCCAGAGTGTGTTATGAAATAGACTGGCTGGCAAATAGGATCTGGCTGGGAATTCTCCAAGGGTGCAGTAAGGTGCATCACCATTGGGGATTAATCTCTTTCCTGGCTGAGGTCGCTCATAAGAGCCGTATGTGAGGTATGACTTAATCCTTAGCACTATATAATCTGTCCATAATAAATACGTAGAAGGCTTTTAATACCTTCCATCAGGAAGGAGACCCAGCCAAGGAGCTTCTAACCAGGTCACTGATGAGCAGGCTTACCCCTCCCTCTGTGTCATTTTTATTAATCACTTGAAATGTACATTGAGTAATGGTTACAAACAGCATGGATAGCAAATTAACAACAGAAGGGAAGGTCGGGCTGTGAAACTGAACACAAATGTTGGATTGATTTAATCAAGATTCCAATCAAACTCACTGACCTCGTGGTAGTTATTCTTCCTCTCCCTCCCATCCCCTCCACCAAAAAGAGGTAAAAAAAATTTGGTGGCTGTTTGCTGCTTCATTTGAAAACCTGGATCAATAGGACATGTGATTCACCAACTGAAAATTGATGGCCCAGAGAGAGTCTGTCCAGGTCTATCTCAACCATGCAGTTGGTCCAATAAAAGTTATCACCTGCAAAAATCATTGCCTCATCAGAGTAAAAGCACTTTTGACCCATTCTTCATCTCTCCTTAATCTATATGGTCTGTTATTGTGTAAACTCCTCTAGCAGACATCTTTCATCTACATACCTGTCAAGCCACTGAGCACCCTTTAATCACAGGTAAAAATAATATTGAGTTCTTACTGGTGAAGGCAGCTTATTTGATAGTGAGTTCCCATAGTTTTGCCACAGAATGTATCAGCATATACCTTATCTAACATGCTTATCTTGTGTCTGGATACCACAAAAGTTTGAGATAGGAAGGATCTATTAGGTAATCTTATCTTTCTCTGTTTGGTCCAGTGAAGGATTTTCCCCTGCAGGATATATTCCAGGGCTTTTTCTGAATTAGTTCTTAAATATCACAAGCATTTGGGGTTTTAAACTGTCTCTGCACTGGGTGTTTTGGGGTTTATTTTTAAGTGTTCATAATAGGCATAAATAATGGAACCGATAAGATTTGTAACAATCATGAATATTCAGTTGATTTTTTTTTTCTTTCTTGTATTCCTTCTATCCTTTTCTGTAGGTTTTTTTTTTTTTTATTTTGTTTGCCGATTTAAATATATGGTACCTTTTTGTGGGAGCTACAGAATGATTATCTTCTCAGTTTCATTTTGCTGTTTTTAATTACCATCCAGAATTCAAAGTGAAGCTATCAGGGAGACACAAGTGTGGTGGAGAGAGGAGGTGCAAGGGAAGTCTCAGCAGCCAGAAAAACAATGTCAAGAGATAGGAACTGGAGAAGCTTGTGAAACCCAAACCACTTTCAGTTTGGGCAGGGTTATTCACAGGGGTCTTGATCCCTCATGTTCTTTTGTGCAAACTACCTCTGCCTCTGCTGCATAAACTAGCTAGCAGTAACAGACGGCAGTCAGCTAAACCAGTGAGCCTTTTTTCCTATGGAATAAGCAGGACCTAGCAGTTTCTAAAACCTTTTCTCCCCTACTGACTTCCCCCTTTACTGAAGGCTTTAGGAACACAGAGGGCCAGTACATTAGACGTTCACCTCTGGAAGCAAGAGGTTCATTGCTTACATCAAAGGTAGAAACCCATTTTGGAAGAGAGGAGACTATGTTAGTCCTGCAGGTGTGAGTAAGGCAGGCAAAGCTCACTTATATGACATGCATCAAGTCACTAGTACTTTAGCCCCATATCATTTTAACTCTCCAGAAGGACTCCTCTGATTTCTGTCTTTGACCCAAACTAACCCAAACCATTTCAAAGTTTTTACTTTGTTTTCCTGGGCAAGTACTTTTTCCCTTAGTGGAAAAGAGCCACATGCGTCAGTTAGAACTTGAAACCATCTGCATTCCTCTCTCTGGCAGAGTTAACGAGCTCTACGTAGACGACCCAGACAAAGACAGTGGAGGGAAAATAGAAGTGAATTTGAACATCAGTTTACCGAATCTGCACTGTGAATGTGAGTACCTTCTTTGAGGCCATAATGTTTCCCATATTTTTAGAGTTGGCTGCTTAAGGCTCTGAGTCTACACATTCCACGTTTCAAGGGCAGGGTGCAGTCCCCATCCTGTGTCCTGATTTTGCTTTTTTTTTTTTTTCAGGAAAAAAATATATCAGTGCCCTCCTAATTAATCTTTCTTTTATAGAAGAATAAAGGCTCATGCAGTTGGGGCAGGAATTAGAGATGCAGTTTTACTGTGTCAGTCCCTTCACTTAGGAGTTATTTCTGCCAAGAGTGTCACAGACCCATGACCCTGCTTCTGAGGTGGGGGAGAGAGGTCAGGTTCCTGGAGCCTCTGTAGATGCCCCATTATCCCATATTCTAAGCTAGGTCTACCCTTTAGTCTGACCGTGCCTAGCAGTGGAACACTATTTTATCACTGCAGCTTTGGCTAGCATTCTGGCTTCTATACCTAAGATCCGTCTCATTCTTATTTCATCAGGGCCTCTTTTTTGTGTCTAGGAGTAAGAAATCTCCTGAGTTTATTAACAGTTCTGAATCCAGGTACCACATGTGCCCTTTAGTAAATAACTTAACTTGTTTGCCTCAAGTTTCACCCTCTGGAATACATTTACATTGCAGGGGTCTGCCATTAAATTTATCTGTCAGACACTGAGGCTTAAATGTTTTGTTGGTTAATCTATGGATTTTAATGAGCAGACCAGATGCTTAGTTTTTTAACAGGTGAATGAAGTGGTGTGATTCTGTGCAATGTCAGGGGGACACTGTATTTTTCCATACAAAGAATTCTTTATGCAATCCCCTGTTCTTATCTTTTTCTTCCCATCTGTGTAGTGGTTGGACTGGATATTCAAGATGAAATGGGAAGGCATGAAGTTGGTCACATCGATAACTCGATGAAAATCCCCCTCAATAATGGAGATGGCTGCAGGTTTGAGGGCCAATTCAGTATCAACAAGGTGAGTGTCAACAGCAGCTGGTGGGTGTTTGAGGGTTCAGGAGCCATTAGCACGACCAAAGCATAAAGCACACTTACCAAACCCTACATGTGAATGGCCCTGCAGTCAGCATCTTTACTGCTTTATCAGTAGGCTATGGGTTCAGATCCCACATCAGGTCATGAGTTCAGCTTGATGCCATGGTACTGTACTAAGAAAATGGCCGCAGAGTTAGAAGTGTGGGAAATGTTAAATCATGGTTCCTTCTTACCCCTTTGCCCTGGAGGCAGCTCTTGAATACTGGTGAATAGCCTTGTTTAGCAGGCATCATACTGCCTTTCAGTAAGGCAAGCTCTAATTTCTAAGGCTCTGTATGAGCTATTGGCAAAAACACAACAGCTTTTGTGTTTGCCCTTCACAATCATGGCACCTCCAGTATGTGACTCATAGCTGTGCAAAGGACTTTGGCTCATCTTTATTCAAACCCTCTCCTGTTCCAAGAGCCACATAGCGGCTGAATGCTTCTTACTAAGGGATGCCAGCTTAACAAAGGTAGCTTCATATAAGGTGTTTGGAATGTGCATGCACATGTCTGCTTGTAGGGGTGAAGCTCTGTCTTTATCTGAGGGAATGAAAATTCAGGCCTAGGGTAGGTTCCCGTCTTTGGTGGGTGTGTCCAGACCTAGATCATCTTGCTAGTAATATTACAGATGAACTGACTAGCTGGGCTGGGAGTGGGGACTGAAGGTGTGGCATGCTGGTGTCATAATAAGGGTGCAGCCTTTATTCACGCCTCATCGAGTACCACAGGCTACATAATCCTACTTCCTTCTCCTACCAGGTCATGTTAAATCACATTTTAAAATAACAGTCAAAACCTCTTGATAGCACTGCAACACAAAGAACAGTTTGGGGCTTGAAGTTGAGGAACTTTCACTCACCTTTAAGCAGCCAGTGATACTGTTGACCAGGGATCCTAGTTTTCCCTGATAAAAAACATTGCAAATTCTCTAATAAAACCCCCAAAATCTGTGATTAAACTGAAAGACCCCCCAGCCCCCCTGGTGCCCCTCACTCCCTTCCAACAGTCCCTGGCCCTGCTGGTGCCCCTTGCTCCCCACCCACACCTCCTGCTCCCCCAGCTCTGCCAGTGGGGGCTCCCAGCTGCCAGGGCTATGGGGCCAGGGACCTGGATCTGCAGTCCCCTGCCTCTGGCAGGAGGCGGTGGCTGCTGCAGCAGAGTGGAGCCGGGCTCCCCTGGCTGCTGCTTGCTGTGGGCTTGTGTGGGGGGGGACTGCTCCCTGCTGTGGCGTGCAGTCCTGGGGGTCAGGGGGACCCATGCCCTCCAGATCTGTGCATGGTGCAGGGGCTGCCTACTGTGGGCTCCCACCCTGCCGCCCTCATCTGGCGCCTCCGCAGTCCAGCATGTGTGACACAGTGCTGCAGAGAACAGCGGAGCCGTGAAAGAAGCTGCCTGCCACTGTGAGCTCTGTGCTGTCCTCGCAAGGCATCCCCT